CCCCAAACGTGTAGCCCATGTGAGGCAGGCAGATGTGAAAGGAGCCAGCCAAGGGTGTGCTGTAAGGGAGATGTGCTCAATCCCAGTCAGCGTCAGGTGCATCCTGGTGTGCCCGCGCCTTCCCTGCTGCTCGCCGGATGCCAAGCAGTATACATGCAGTCTAGTGTGCACTGCTGCTGGTGGCCCCTGGGCCAGCCCACAGCTCCCTTGTGGCAGCACAGCAAACAGGAAGGGACCCGTCCACTAGCCAGGTAAGGTGACTCAACAGCAACCAGGACTTCCCTAGTGTGTGCCCCCAACCCCCCATGTATTCTCCCTGCCCCCTGCCTTTACTTCTCACACATCTAACTGCCAAGATTCCTGCCCTGAGCCTCTCCATACCCTTGTCCTGCCCCCACACACACTCTCATCAACCTATCCTGAGTCTCCCCCCCCACACACACACACATCGCCCAGCCTGACTCCCGCACCCCCCCAAACATAGCAACCCTCTTCCTTGAACCCCTCCTTACACCCCCAACCCTCAGGTTAGGTCCATAAAAGGCTATTAGCCAGGGGATAGAAATGGTATCCCTGGCCTATGTTTGTCAGAAGCTGGAGATCGATGGCACAAGACAAATTGCTTGATCGCTGTCTTCGGTCCACCCCCGCTGGGGCACCTGGGGCTGGCCACTGTCAGCAGACAAGCTACTGGGTTAGATGGACCTTTGGTCTGACATAGTATTGCCATTCTTATATTAATCCTCCACCCATCCACACACACCTCTGCCCTGAACACTCCCCAACACCCCTCCCCCCCACACACACATTCAAGACCACACGTAAATTTCTTACAGGTATCATCATATTGCAACCTCCTGTCCTGAGTCACTCTTCAAAGGGGGGGGGGGCGGTGATAGGACAGTACTTGTAAGGAATTTGTTATTCACCCCTGGAGACCCTTAGTCCAGTCACTTGTCCTTGTGTGTGAAGCAAGGCAGGCACCTAGGCTTGGTCTACATACTTCAGCATAATTAGGTTAGTCAGGAGTGTAAAAAATCCACATCCTGAAGGATGTAGATATACCTACTTAATCTCCCTACTCCCTCCCCCCCAGCAGTGTACACAGTAGGGATGTTAGTGTATAGTAGAATAAACAACTGATACGCCTAGGCTTATCGGTTAATCCTGTCAACTACATGCACTCTCTCCCCCTCCCCTTTGCTCCCTCTGTATCAGGCTTTCAATGGGCTCCCCACAAGCACCAGGCCTGTGCTACTGCCTCTAATAAAGAGACAGCAGTGTGGAGGGTGAGGGGGGAAGGTGGAAGCAAATATGCCTGTGGAGCTCCAACCTTCCCCAGAACATATCTCCCAGGGACCCAACTGTCCCTGCTTGCTGCCTCCTGTAGATTCCCCGCTTAAAATCCAGTTCCCTGCAGCACCAGCTGCATGGTGCTGCCTTCCCTCCCCATGCTGCTGCTGCTATCAGCAGCAGCAGCATGAGGGAAGGAGGGCAGGAGAGGCTGCTGCAAAGCAGCATCCCACAGAGCAGTCTCTATCCCTGTTGAACCTGGGCCCTCCACGTTCAGAGGCTGCTTCACAGTAGCAGCTCCTGTCTGCGGGGGTCTGAGCTTCCTGCAGACAGAGGCTGCTCACCATCCTGTGCTGCTCCACATTCACAGACAAAGGCTGCTGCCTCTGTATACTGGTTTTTAAACTAGCTCCCCTCATGGACCAGCTCCCGCCTGCCACCCTACACTGCTACCTCTGATAGAGAGGCAGCAGTACGAGGTGACAGGACTTCCTGGGAGTGGGGCTGGAGCACACTGGCTGCAGGCCCTGTCTCTGGGGACTATTGAATAGCTGTGTAACTGATGATATTTTATGCAGTTACACGACTATTCAATTATACAATTGCTAATATCCCTGTTAGAGCTATGTTGACAGGAGAATTTGAGTGGAGGCACATACATAATTAGGCCACTGTAAGCTGCCGTCCATTTACCTAACAGTGTATCGCTTCAGGAAGGTTCTACTGACCTATTTCCCAGTGTAGACATATCCTTAAGCATTTAACTACCATTCATTGTGTAGAGAAGGTGATGCACTTAACTCTTGGATTTGTGGATTACACTTTTGTTCTAGTGACTTTTCTAGATTCCCAAATATTAGCCATTATTGTGCCTAAGTCCTTCTGGGTAGCCCACTGTATGTCTTATGTTAGGCAAGGAAATTATGAGACTGCAGAAACTGTAAAAAAATTGAGTGGGATAACAAATTCACCTGGTGTTGCTCGAATCACTAAGGAGAGATTCAGTGCAGCAGGCTATGAGCGTGGAGGGTGCAGGAGTCAAAGCAAAGCCCTACAGCTGGTCTGGGGAGTGGGAGGTGAGGCTCTGGGGACTGGCCCTGGCCTGCAGCACTCCTTCCCCCAGCCTGCAACTGGCCTGCATAGTAGGGGCGTGAGGGTCCGTGAGCTGGCTCTGCCTTCCAGCAGTTCCCCTGCAGGCTCTACATGAGGGGGAGGGCAAGGCTCTGGGGGCTGCCATTGGCCTCCAGCGGCTCCCCTGCAGGCCTACAGCCTGTCTGAGGCCAGGCCTAGAGGAAAGGGGGGGCAGGTCTCTTGGGCAGGGGGGCTCCCACCTGGCACTATTTGGGGCAGCAGGGCCACTTACCTGCTCCATTGGCCAGTGACATACTGAGCCCTGTCCGCAGCTATCCCCAGTGATCACCATGAGTATTATCTCCCTCCTCTTTGCTCACACCTTTTCAGTGTTTTGGAAAACAGTTCCATTCTCTGCACTTCCTGTTTTCCTGGCACAACCAAGCTCTGACCTTGCTTTAAGTTAGGGTAAGAGGAAACTGTATGCCAAATATTGTGGCCCTAACTCTTACTATTTAGGAGAGGTTCTTGAACAAGTGGGACTCGGACAGATTGACTCTAAAATGTATGTGGATAAAATATATGTATATGTGGATAAAATATATGTATATATAGGTGTGAAGCTTATGCTATATAAATATTTAATTAGGTCTTCTAAATTTAGATTGTAAGGGGAGCCTCTGAAGCTGAAGTAAAGATTTTTGGCAATAATGATACACAGAACAAAGCCAAAATGTTGATAGATGATCTTGTTAAGAGATGTGGCCAAAATTACCCTGAAGACAGAACTGAGAGAGGTAAGTAATTTACAATAGCGGAATTGTTGCATCTTTGACCCGTGATCTCTTACAACATGTGACTTGTATTTAACTTTTTATACAAAGGCATATTGCAGAGGTTATGTGGTGTGACCACATATAAAGAACTTTATAAAAAACAGTTAAAATTAATTCAGGATAACACCACCCAGGAATCCTCAAAAACAAGGAGATAAGAGGAAGCAATAATAAAACACTTGCATTTACCACTTGTACTGACAGAATCATTGTCCTTCTATAAATACATCGTGTCTGCCTCCAAATGCATCAAAACTATATACATTATATTGCTCACTTTATTGAACTATGACTCTGACCTCAGCATACCCTTACATTATACGTTAGGCAAATTATAATATGTACAGTTATTGGTAAGTTATAGGGATATGTAAGCAATGACTACGTTTTCCATTCTAATATTTTGTTTGTTGCTTGTTGTTATCTGTTTATATTGAAAGCCCTTACGGACAAAGACTATTTATGTCTTCAGATCCAGGTTGAGGCTCTAGAAGGAAAGAAAGGAATTAGTCAGAACTGACAGTTAGGTTCCACATTTCAAATAGAGGAGAAATAGAGTGAGGAGCTGTGTGACAGGGGAACTGTGAAATGCCACTATAGTTAAATCTGCTTTCTGAGAGATCCTAATTTAATTTAATTTAAATATATTATTTATGCATTTAGTATGTGTGACTTAATTATCATCTTGTCCATAGAAATACCTCTTTTTCCTTACAGTTGTTGAAAATAGAAATTTCTGCTTGATCCCTAGGGTTCTGAGAATTTATCTCCCTCCCCTCCCCGTTTTCCCCTAGTTTATACCCAGTCCCCATAGAACCCATATTATAGAAATCCATTCTTCTAGCTGAGAGGGGTGCTTGATGTTCTCTTTAGAACCTGTCAGTACTACTCCTAAGTATCCAGAAATAGCTGAAATTGTCCATTAGGGTGCTAAATTCTATCCTTTTCCTTGCAATGCATCTACACGTTTTTTGCAGATTTTTCTGGTATATAATAAGATTGGATCTGGAGATCAAATCAAGCTTCTAACAATATGCTCCAAGAAAGAATGCTCCATTTAAACATAAAGTCTCCTTATAATTCAAATGGAGAAGGTTTTGTTAAAAATAAAGCTGCTGTTTCCCAACAGGTTTCCTTCAACACCAGGACTTTGGCAAGTGTTATTCCACTGAAAGCTGCCGTGATCTTGTCAAGTCTGGAATTGGCTCACATAAATCAGTGATTAATTGGGCATCTCTTCGAGAAAATAAAGCTAAATATGAAGCTATGAAGTGGGCAGGTTAGTATACAGGCTCTAAGGAGTGTGGTGTGCCAGTATAGAAAATATAAAATCTTGATAGCCAATTATAGATTTTTTTTTTTAACTGTAGTATAGAACATTGATCGTGTATTTATGTTGAAATCAATGTATATTTTTCAGTGTTAACATTAATAATTCCTGATAGACTCTTACACTTTCTTTAGTTTCAATTAAATATAACTATTTAGGCATTGTAATTTTCTAAAATATAGCTTTTGTTAGAGGAATAATTCCTATAAGCTTAGGCTAAAAATTTTGTCAGGTATTTAGAAAATACTTAAAACCCGCAATTTTACATCTGCCTGAGCTTTGAAGTGTTTGCATGTTTCCAATAAGAAATTTTTACACTACTACTAAAAAGTTTTAGTAGAGAATGATTTGATGATTCACACTGTGTGGGTGTTGGGCTCTTGCATCTTAAATCTTAATCATAATTTTGGTACTTCTACTACTAACTGCTTCCTTTTAAACTATGTGTTGTAATTCTGAATGAACATGTCTCCCCAATTTGGAAACCAGATTTTTTCAATGGCTTGCTTTTTTCCCCGTATAAGATTTGTCTCCAGTTGAGAAAAACTTCTACAAAGAATCTCCGGAGGTTTCTTCCATACCAAAAGAAGAAGTGGAGAAATGGCGGTAAGTTTTTTGTATGGGAAGTAACTGCTTGTTTTGGAATTGGAATTGTAAATTTCTTTTGTTACATAGGAGTTGTATAAATGTTACAATTTTCTTTTTATTAACAGTTAGATATATTTTTTTATTTGGGATGGAACCATTGTGGATTAATTTTTAAGTCAAAGTGATCTAAGTCACCAATTTTAATAATTTAAATCAGAGAGCAGGAGTCCTTGATTTAAAAATCAGTTTTCATCGTGTTTTCATTGTGCCACTTACTTTCATAAAGAAAGCTCAGTTCTCATTGGTAAACACTAAAATATATTTTTGCTAAATTTAGATCTCCTTTTTGCTAACCAGAAGGAAACACTATATCCTTCTGCACTTAAATAATTATATAGCTTGTCTTCCATTTATTCAGATTCTTAATTTTCACACTTTTTATTATGTTGGACAATGGTTTTTTTTTTTAATTTACTGGATTAATTTTTTACTTGTGTCAAGCTTTATTTGGCTGGAAACTAATATTCAGCTAGACTGCACAAAACTAATTTTTTATTTTTTATTAAATAAAACTACCTTAAATATTCTAATATATAAGAAACCAGTTTAAGACATGTTCTTTATTTAGTACTTACTTATTAAATAAGTGTCATCTGTAGTTAGTGTATTGAACTGATTGTCTCTAATCATCAGGGCCTTCAAAATTTTTAGAATTAGCAGATTCATTCTCTCACACTTAGCTTTTATTCATAGAATGAAGATGAGAACAAATTTTCCTGTTTTTCAAGAACCCAGTTGGGTGCTTATCTTTGATCTAAATGGGCCTGAAAATAAGAAAACATTCTCTCAGCACATGCATAAGAGCTTACTGCTGCCAAAAGCTGGTCTGGCACTTCAGAGCCTTCAACCAGTAAAGGGGTTAATTTTCTTTAAAACTTGGCAGCAAATGAATTGCTTAATATATTTTATTTAATTTAAACAATTTTAATGCATTATAGTAAGTTTAGGCCTTACCATAGGCTGTCCATTATAATTATAATGTTATTGGTTTATTTTATTTTTTTAAAACCCCTTTACTTCCAGTTTTTTAAAAATCCAGTTTTTTAATTAAATCGAGTGTTTTTATCCACCATGAGTTGAGCACTAGACAAGCAGGCATTGCTTTTTTTTCAAGCTGGTAGCAAACGGGGCTAAAATATCTGTAACAGGCAAATGTCCACAGTCTTTTTTTTCTTAAATGTCAGAATTTCTGCTTTTGTAATACAGAAAGGTGGCATTGACAGTGAAGGTGGTGCATAAAATCCTTCAGTGCATCTACCTACTGGAATTGGGCAAACTGTGAGATAGTGGGTTGGCGTTCATTAACTCCTTCAGGCTGGAATCTTCTGAACAGTATGTCAATCTTAAATGCCTTTTGAACTCCCCTTTTCTTCACTGAAACCTCAAACATCTTCTAATATTTTTACTTGCCAATGACTGTTGTCCCACACACTCCCTTTTTTGAAAAGAAATTCTATAGATCATAGAAAAGTGACAAGTAGAAGCATACACATATACTTCCAAAAGACAATTAGAATCCCAGTTCAGATTACAAGTTACATTTCCTAACACAGACACAGAGGTTAGTGGTACTGATAAAGGTGCTGGAGTGGCACACATGGCTACTATCCTTTTTCCATTCCAACAAGTTAGGGCTGCGAAATTCATTACTAATAGCAGAGAGAGAATACTAGAGTAAACACGAGGGAACAAAGCAGCGGGGATCCCCAGTTAAATGTTTAACTGTGATAGAATTTTAGTCAGTTACACGGTTATTCTTTTTACACATTATTTACATCTCTAATGGCAGTGAGAATCAAAGTTCTAACCACAGTAAACTTCTGATAATCTGGCACCCCCTGGATCCTAAAGGTGCCGGATTATCAGATATGCCGGACTATCGGAAGGGGGGGCTATGAGGGGTCTGGGGTGGCATCCACCCCACCCCAGACCCCTCATAGCCCCCCCTTCCGATAGTCCGGCATATCTGATAATCCGGCACCTTTAGGATCCAGGGGGTGCCAGATTATCAGAAGTTTACTGTGGTTAGAACTTTGATTCTCACTGCCATTAGAGATGTAAATAATGTGTAAAAAGAATAACCGTGTAACTGACTAAAATTCTATCACAGTTAAACATTTAACTGGGGATCCCCGCTGCTTTGTTCCCTCGTGTTTACTCTAGTATTCTCTCTCTGCTATTAGTAATGAATTTCGCAGCCCTAACTTGTTGGAATGGAAAAAGGATAGTAGCCATGTGTGCCACTCCAGCACCTTTATCAGTACCACTAACCTCTGTGTCTGTGTTAGGAAATGTAACTTGTAATCTGAACTGGGATTCTAATTGTCTTTTGGAAGTATATGTGTATGCTTCTACTTGTCACTTTTCTATGATCTATAGAATTTCTTTTCAAAAAAGGGAGTGTGTGGGACAACAGTCATTGGCAAGTAAAAATATTATATAGTATTTCCTCTTCTCTTTTCCCATCTTTTATATGCTTATCAATAATTACTGTTTCTGTAATTTTGTTTACTCCTTTTAAAATATCTATAAATGAAGGAAAGGGGGAAATTGGAAGTGCTTTTCTTTCCCTGCTCCCTGGCTGAAGCAGAGATGTTGGTTGTTCACAATCATGCTGAGAGGGCATAACAAGTGGGGTTCCTCAGGGGTCTGTTTTGGGACCCGTTCTGTTCAATATCTTCATCAACGATTTAGATATTAACATCGAGAGTATGCTGATTAAGTTTGTAGATGATACCAAGCTGGGAGAGGTTGCAAGTGCTTTGGAGGATAAGGTCATAATTAATCTGGACAAACTGGAGAAATGGTCTCAGGTAAATAGGATGAAATTCAATAAAGCCAAATGCAAGGTACTCCTCTTAGGAAAGAACAATCAGTTCCCACCTACAGAATGGGAAGTGAATGTCTAGGAAGGAGTACTGCAGAGAGGGGCCAGAGAAGAACAAGAAGAATGATTAAAGGTCTAGAGAACATGAGCTATGAGGGAAGACTGAAAGAATTGGACTTGTTTAGTTTGGAAAGGAGAAGACTGAGAAGGGGATATGATAGTGGTTTTCAAGTATCTAAAAGTGTTTCACAAGGAGGAGTGAGAAAACTTGTTCATCTTGGCCTCTGATGATAGAACAAGAAGAAATGGGCTTAAACTGCATCAAGGGAGGTTTAGGATGGACACTAGGAAAATCTTCCTAACTGTCTGGATGGTTAAACATTGGAATAAACTGCCTGGGGGGTTGTGGAATCTCCATCTCTGAAGATATTTAAGAGCAGATTAGACAGACCTCTATCTGGGATGGTGTAGATAGATGGAGCTTGGTCCTGCCATGGTGGCAGGGGACTGGACTCAATGATCTCTTAAGGTTCCTTTCAGTTCTAGTGTTCTATGATTCTATCATTGGATTGCAATAGGACATGAATATTCTCTGAAAAATGTATATTTCATTCAAGAAAGTCAAGGTCACTAGGGTCTAATTAGCCCATCTAATTGTGCAGGGGAATTTCTAAAAGCGAAAGTGAGAACTGAATGATGTGAAAGGGTGTCTTCCAAGAAACATCCTTTGTGAACATAAGAGTGGCCATGGTGTACTTTTTTCCAAGAAACCTATACTTGTTTCTTATAGACCACAAAGTTTCTCAATTTCTAGAATATTTTCCTGTTTGGGGTTTTAAAATTCTTTGATTTTTAAAGCTACTACATTAATATTTTTAAATTCTGTACAGAAAAGAAAATAATAATATAATTTGTGATGACTTGAAAGAAGGTGAGAAGCGCCATATTCCCAATCCTGTTTGTAAATTTGAAGATGCATTTAAATATTATCCTGATGTTATGGCAAATATCAGAAAAGTGGGCTTTGAGAAGCCTACGCCAATTCAGGTATGATGTAGCATTCACTCTGATAAATTTCATATTTTAAGGAGAAATTTGCCATTCCTGTGTTAAGCACTTATATTATTTTATTTTAGTCACAGGCTTGGCCAATCATACTTCAAGGAATTGATCTCATTGGTATTGCACAGACTGGCACTGGGAAGACATTAGCTTATTTAATGCCTGGATTCATTCATTTGGATTCACAACCAATGTAAGGTCTTGATAGAGTGAAACTTTTTGAGTCTTGTATTGCCTATGTTTTGTTTTTTTTAACTCTAAATTGGCATTAAAACACAACTTATAAACGAGTCCAATCAGTGGTTCTAAAATGGTTTAAGAAACTGGTGTTCTGTTTTAAGTAGCAGAATGTGGCAATCTATTGAGAGAGTCTAGAAAAATATTTACATTAGTTAATATTTTAATGTGTGTTTACTCAGTATCAGTTTTTTCTGTGGCTTCATATAACTACTGCATAAAGCATTTTTTAAAATTGTTTAATTCTTTCTTAAAGCCCAAAAGATCAGCGGGGTGGGCCAGGTATGTTGGTCCTTGCTCCCACTCGAGAACTAGCTCTTCAAGTGGAGGCAGAGTGCTCAAAGTATACATACAAAAGCATTAAAAGGTAATCTTTATTCTCACTAGTTTCTTAATATTAAAATATAAATGTTGGCAGAAGTCTTGCATTACAGCAAACCTTGTCACTAAAAAGCAAAAGCCTTACAACATGCAAAAATAAATAAATTATTCTATTGCCTTTAGGATATCTGATATTCTATTCTGGCATTAGGTAGCAGAAAACATGCTGTTTACTTTGTCTGGGCCACAGATGTCTGCCATATTTATTATGAAGTTGCTAAATGGACCCTTTTCCTCTGGGCTCCCTTTCAGTACTTGGTCAGTAGTTGAGCTTCCCCTTGGCCAAACCTCTTCCTCCTGTGTATTCTGAGAGTGGAAATATTTTATTGGTGATGTCAAGTCTAAAAAGGTCCATAATTTGTACCTTTTTATTTACAGCTTTCCTTCTGGTTCAAGTCGTCTTTGAAGCTGTATTTCTTCATCTTTATTAATTTTCCTCCTTTTTCCAGTCTGTGGTTTAAGATTGCTATTGGTTATTCTTTCTTGACCATTTTTGTTCCCCGCAGTAGTTCTGAATTGATAGTTAGGCTGCACTACCTGTCCCTCTAGAGGTGAACCAAATTTACAATAATTTATTCTTCATAAAATTATCTTATAAAATAGGATGTTTTGAATACCCAACATTCCATCAGTTCTTTATTGCAATTTACTTGAGAAGATCTTCTTACATGTTGAAAGATGTGAGATTAGGTGCTATAGTACCTGGAAAATTCTAATTTCCATGTTTGCTGCTAGATTAATTTTTTAAATGTTACCTATTTCCGTCTCTGTTAATTCGGTGTGCTTTATTAGATGGTCATATAATTTGTGCTCATGTCCAAATTCTTTCACAACTACTCTGTGATCTTTTGTCATTAAGTTGGCCTCCTGCTATCTTTTATCTCCTGCTAAAAGTTTTATGTACTTTTAGCAAATCATTGCGTGTTTCTCTCTGCTACATACGGGATGAAAATTTTTAAAACTGCCAAAGGTAGTACAGGCAGTCCCCGGGTTACGTACAAGATAGGGACTGTAGGTTTGTTCTTAAGTTGAAGTTGTATGTAAGTCGGAACTGGTACATACTGTAGGGGAAACTCTAGCCAAACATTTCTCCAGAGCTCAGTTTTATTCTCCCACACCTCACTTCCCTCAGTCCTTTATTCTCAAGCTGAGGTGTCTGCTGAGAAAAGCTGCTCCGCGTCTCCCTGGTCTGCTGGGGAGAGGGGGGGGGGGGGCTAGCTTTGCATCTCCCTGGTCTGCTGGGGGGGAAGCAGCTAGTGCGGGGTTGCCTCACCCCGTTTGTAAGTAGGGATCCGATGTAAGTCGGATCCATGTAACCCGGGGACTGCCTGTATATAGAAACTGAAGCAACACATTCAATGACAAACTGTTAGGAAAATGATTTAATGTAGTTATTTTGTTAAAATGTATGTCTTGCTTAATGTATTTAAACTTAAAAACACATTATTTATGGCATAACGTAAAATAACAAATATTTATATAAAGTAGAAAATATAAATAAATAAATCCTCGTTGCTTTTTGACCTATTCTGTGACTATAATCTTGCCTCTTGATAGCTTAATACAAACGTGTCCTTTAAATATTACGGAACAAAGTACTGTCACTTTTTTTCAATTTTGAAAGATTGATTTTAATTGAATTGTATGACTCAGCTTCTGGAAAACTTTTTTTTTTTTTTTTTTTTAGTATTTGCATATATGGCGGTGGGGACCGAAAAGGACAGATAAACGTGGTTACCAAAGGTGTGGATATTGTTATTGCTACTCCTGGTAGACTGAATGACCTTCAAATGAACAACTTCATAAATCTGAAGAGCATAACATATTTGGCAAGTAGTCAACAGGGAAAAGTAATGCACTTACTGGAATGAAGGTGGATTAATTTGAACCAAATCTTTAATTTTTTTAAAGTATGAAATAATTTTAATTGAGACTTTAAGCCTAAAATTTGAAAATCTTATTACTAAACTGAATATCTCTGCTGAAAACACTGAATGCCACCCAGGGAAAACTAGACAATTGATACACACAGTGAGTGGTTTTTTAATGGGGGTGAGGGGAAACATATGGCCCTCCCTTCTAAGGTCACTTGAAAATATTTTTTTTTAGATTGCTTTGTCATGGTAATGGTATAACGTACTGAAAGCCTTAAGTCTTCCTGACCATTTTTGTTAGATTACTTAACTGTAGAATGTCCTCCTTATCCTCTTCAATCATCATCTTTAATACTATAGGTCAGTGGTTCTCAACCTGATCACGATTGTGGGTCACAAATGTAGCTCTCTGTATTTTGTGGGCCCCACACACCACTTGTATGAACCTGAGAATATCACAGGGACTGCAGCTGTTTGGTGATAGGATCACAGGTTGAGAACCACTGATATAGGTACTCTGTTTTCTCATATTTACAAATTATTTGTCAATGGCCTTTTAACCCTAAGGACATGGGTTAATCACTCAGGATAACAGTTTAAACTGGCCCTTTCTCAGATGCATCCTATGACCTACTTCAATGAAAGGTGAAAGTAAAGGGGGTGCATCTTGATGTGCAGCTCCAGTAAGACCTGGCTGAGCAGCAGCAAAAGCCAACAGGGAGCTATTTAAAGAGCTGGCAGGAACCTGAGTTGCAATAGGACAGTAACTGTAAGAAAATTAAGTTCTTTGAGGAGTGTCCCTGTGGGCGCTCCACTGTAGGCATCTTGGCACTCCTATGCTTTTAAGAATTTTTTAGCAGCAGTACTCCTCCCCGGGTGTCAGTGCTCCAAGCTTGGTTGGAACCCAGCAGTGCTCCATGTTTAGTTCTTAGTGTTAGTTGTTAATTTGTAGATAGTGATTAGATAGTATTATATTGTTAGTGTTGTTACAGTTCTCTTCTCTCCCCCCCCCCTTAATTGTTAGTGTTTCTCCAAAAAAAATTCTTTGTTAGTAATTTACTTAGGAATTAGGGATGTAAAAGAGTTGTCAAATAGTTGACTACCTGATAAGCTGAGGCTGTTTGAGGGAGCAAGTGGGAGGTGGGGGAGGAGCAGGAGCCAGTGCTTGGGGCACATGGCTCAAAAGCTGGTTTCCCTCCACCACTGTCTTTGCAGGGATGGGAAGGCAGACGCACAGTAGGCTGCAGCTCTGCCTTTTAAATGTAGCAAGAGCCACCTGTCTCTTACTACAGTTAAAAGATAGAGGCACAGCGCAGGACCTGCCACAAGTACACGATTAGCCATTTACTTGATACTTAACATCCTTATTAGGAATAGATTAGTGATGCCAAGCTCCCCAAGATTTGAGAGGTGCCTGACATGCAGAATGTCCGTTTCCATCTCTGATGGGCTTGCCAAATGCATTCATTGCCTGACCAGAATCATTCTCTGAAGAGCTGCCACCACTATAAAAAGCTTTTTTCTAGATCTTTGAAAGCAAGAGAACTGCAGCTAAAACTCCTCATAATGAAGATGACAGAGAGACGACCCTTGGAATTGGTATATCAAGCGTCTCCATCTCGTACCTCACCGGCAGCAGCTTCTGACCAACAGGGCCATCAGCTGAAGGATCCTCCAGCCAAGAAAATGACTAAGAAGAAGTACTAAGTTATCGATTCACTACGGCGATTGCCTGATAGTGCCTTCTATGGAACAAAGGACCATGGACTACACCACAGACAATCTGACTAGTCAATACTGTGGGCCTACAAATAAACATGCAAAAGTCTCACCTTGCTCCATCTTAGGAGCATCTCATAAGTGAAAGATTGGATTGCATACGAGCACAGGCGCAGCTACCAACACAAAGATTCCACTCAATTGCCTTTCCTAGTGTGGCCAATATGGACAGCTCTACAATATTGGCCAGACGGTGCCTACAACTACTCGGACATATGTCTGCGACGATATACGTAGTCCCTCATGCCAGACTACATGTGGTGCCTGCAGGCATGGATGGCTTCACACCTGCTTTTGGCCTCACAAGCACCCTTTGCACAAACTTCTGAGTCCCACAACCAAAGTCAAGGAGACTCTCAGATGGTTAGAGATGTTATAGCTCTCTTCCCCCTCTTCCCCCCCCCCCCCCCCACTTAATTGTTAGTGTTTCTCCAAAAAAAATTCTTTGTTAGTAATTTACTTAGGAATTAGGGATGTAAAAGAGTTGTAAAATAGTTGACTACCCGATAAGCTGAGACTATTAGCAAGTGGGGGGGCAGTGGGAGGAGAGGAGCCGGTGCTGCAGAGTCCCTCTTCAACAAACGTCATTGTCCATACACGTAACTACAAATGCTTCCCTAGAGGCCTGGGGTACACATACCAATGGTTGCAGCACCCTGGGGAGATGGACACCTCCAGAATCAGGCCTGTACATCAGCGTTCTAGAACTCTGTGCAGTACGAGCATGCAAGTACTTTCTTCCCCTAATTCAGGACAAATCAGTGAGAATACTCACAAACAATACCACTTGCATGTTTTATATAAACCAGCAAGGTGGGGCCAGGTCATACCATCTTTGCAAAAAGGCCACAGCCCTCTGGCACTGTAACATTCATCATCAAGTCACCATATCAGCTGTATATCTCCCAGGCAAACAAAATATCACCACAAATCAGTTAAGCTTAATATTTCCTTAGAAATATAAGTAGGAGGTACATCACCAAGCCTTACGTGCCATCTTCCAAAAGTAGGGCTTTGCGGACATAGACTTATTCACTGCGTTTTGCAATGCAAGTGCCCCAAATATTGCTCCAGAACAAGACTGGGCAAAAGTTCCGTGAGAGATGCCAGGATGATCAGTTGGTCTCACAACCTACTATATACCTTCCAGTGTTCCCTCCAAGCTCCACAACAGAACAGCTACACAGGTGAGTGATAAACCCCGCCCAGTCAGAGTTCTGTGCATAGCTTAAAGGGAATACTGTTGCCTTCCCCTCCTCAACAAAGTCATACAAAAAAAAACCCACGACAGGGATGGGTCATTCTGATAGCACCTACATGGTCCAGGCAGAGCTGGTTCTCTTACCTGTGTCAAATGTCAGCTACTCCTCCAATTCCTCTTGTACAGTGGCTGGACATACTGTCTCAGGATCAGGGACACGTTCTTCATCCCAACATCCACAATCTCCATCTCAAATCCTGGCTCTCCAAGGATGATCACCTGTTCGGAAGAAATTTGTACTTTAATTATGAACGGTCATAAAGAAAGTACAGGGAAGACCTATTTGAAGAAATGTTACTATTTCTCTGATTGGGCTGCCCACAGAGCACTTCAGCCTTATACAAAGCAGCTGCTGACACTGCTGGAGTATATTCTTTACTTAGAGAAACAGAACCTTTCAAATTCATCAATAAAGGTCCATTTAGTGGCTGTTTCTAGTGAGCATGATAATGTAGACAATCACTATTTTTTCGCACCTAAAAAATTCTTAAAGGGTTTCAACAACTTCTTTCCCCAATAAGGGTGATAGTGCCATCTTGGGATCTCAACCTTGTCCTTAACACCTTTACCTGCTCTCCTTTTGAGCCGATGGCAATGTGCACATTGTCTCACTTTTCCATGAAGGTTGCTTTTCTACTTGCCATCACAACAGCCAGAAGGGTCACTGAGTTGGCAGTGCTCATGGTGGATCCACCGCTTATGATTTTTCACAAAGAAAAAGTGGTGCTAAAACCATATCTGAAACTTCTTTATTGCAGGCCTGTTGCTGTTTTCATGTTACAGGCCTTAGGCCTACTGACTCCATATTGCTGACACTCAACTTACTACAAATATATTAGAAGCAAGAGGAAGACCAAGGACAGGGTAGGCCCATTGCTCAATGAGAACAGAGAAACAGTAACAGGAAACTTGGATATGGCAGAGATGCTTAATGATTTCTTTGTTTCGGTCTTCACGGAGAAATCTGATGAAGGCATGCCTAACATAGTGAATGCTAGTGGGAAGGGGGGTAGGTTTAGAAGATAAAATAACAAGTTAAAAATCACCTAGAAACATTAGATGCCTGCAAGTCATCAGAGCCCAATGAAATACATCCTGGAATACTCAAGGAGCTGATAGCTAGAGGCTCAGATACCTCCTCTATCATCTTTGGAAAGTCATGGGAGACAGGGGAGATTCCAGAAGACTGGAAAAGGGCAAATATAGTGCCCATTTATAAAAAGGGAAATAAGAACAACCCAGGAAACTACAGACCAGTTGGTTTAACTTCTGTGCCAGGGAAGATAATGGAGCAAGTAATTAAGGAAATCATCTGTAAACACTTGAAAGGTGGTAAGGTGATAGGAAACAGCCAGCATGGATTTGTAAAGAACAAATCATGTCAAACTAATCTGATAGCTTTCTTTGATAGGATAACGAGTCTTCTGGATAAGGGAGAAGTGGTGGATGTGGTATACCTAGACTTTAGTAAGGCATTTGATACGGTCTTGCATGATATTCTTATCAATAAACTAGGCAAATACAACTTAGATGGGGCTACTAGAAGGTGGGTGCATAACTGGCTGGATAGCCGTACTCAGAGAGTAGTTATTAATGGTTCACAATCCTACTAGAAAGGTATAACTTAGTGGGGTTCCGCAGGGGTCTGTTTTGGAACTGGCTCTCTTCAATATATTCATCAACGATTTAGATATTGGCATTGAAAGAACGCTTATTAAGTTTGCAGATGATACCAACTTGGGAGGGGTTGCGACTGCTCTGGAGGATAGGGTCATAATTCAGAATGATCTGGACAAATTGGAGAAATGGTCTCAGGTACACAGGATGAAGTTTAATAAAGACAAATGTGAAGTGCTCCACTTAGGAAGGAACAATCAGTTTCACACACATAGAATGGGAAGCGACTGTCTAGGAAGGAGTACGGCAGAAAGGGATCTAGGGGTTATAGTGGACCACAAGCTGAATATGAGTCCAGCAGTGTGATGCTGTTGCAAAAAAAAGCAAACATGATTCTGGGATGCATTAACAGGTGTGTTGTGAGCAAGACACGAGAAGTCATTCTTCCGTACTACTCTGTGCTGATTAGGCCTCAGTTGGAGTATTGTGTCCTGTTCTGGGTGCCGCATTTCAAGCAAGATGTGGAAAAATTGGAGAGGGTCCAGAGAAGAGCAATGAGAATGATTAACGGTCTAGAGAACATGACCTGTGAAGGAAGGCTGAAAGATTTGGGTTTGTTTAGTTTAGAAAAGAGAAGACTGAGGAGGGACATGGTAGCAGTTTTCAGGTATCTAAAAGGGTGTCATAAGAAGGAGGGAGGAAACTTGTTCATCTTGGCCTCTAGGGATAGAAGAAGCAGCAATGAGCTTAAACTGCAGCAAGGGAGGTTTAGGTTGGTCATTAGGAAAAAGTTCCTAACTGTCAGGGTGGTCAAACACTGGAATAAATTGCCCAGGGAGGTTGTGGAATCTCCGTCTGTGGAGATATTTAAGAGTAGGTTAGATAAATGTCTATCAGGGATGGTCATGGCAGGACCAAATACTGTCTAGAGGGCAGGGGACTGGACTCGATGACCTCTTGAGGTCCCTTCGAGTCTTAGTATTCTATGATTCTATGATACTTTCACAGTTCCACCTAAACAAACCTATATACTTACCTGTTTTCCACCAAAAGCCTCATTCTGATGCTAATGCGGCTCGACTCCACTCCTTGGATGTTCAACAGGTAATTGCTTTTTACCTAGATAGAGCAAAGCAGTTCAGAGGCTCTTCCAGGTTGTTCATTTCCATAGCAGATTGCTCCAAAGGGCAGGTGATTTTGAAACAGAGGCTTTCGAAATGGCTAACATTGTATTAAAACTTGGTATGACATCAGTAAGTTGTCACTACCAGTTGCGGGAACACTCCACCAGGGCAATGGCCACTTCCACAGCCTTTCTCCATAATGTGCCCCTTACGTCATTTGTAGACCTGCAACATGGGCCTCTACACATCCCTTTATGAAATATTGCGGAATTGATACTTACACTGCACAATATGTTAGGTTTGGGGCAGCGGTCCTCTCTGCCGTCCACCAGTCTGGTCCAAAGCCCCTCTCTCCAGATGCTCAGGGTACTGCTCTGTAGTGGAGCGTCATCTATAGTGGAGCGTCCATAGGAACACTCTTCGAAGAAGAAAAGAGGCTACTCACCTTGTCCAGTTGAGGTGTTCTTCGAGATAAGTGTCCCTGTAAACCCTCCACGACCCTCCCTCCTCCCCTCTGCTTCTGGATTGTAACATTTCTCCACGGTACATAAGGAACTGAGGGAAGGTTGACAGCACGTCAGCATGTTCACTGCGTCACAGGCACGCCAGCATCTGTGGGGGAATAATGCTGCTAAAACATTATGATAATAACCTCAGGAGTGCCAAGAAACCTATAATGGAGCGCCCACAGGGACACCCATCTCAAAGAACATCAGATTAATAATATCTGCATACGGCGAATAATACTACTTTTCCTTTTACTCCTGCGTTAATGAGTAAACTGGGACTGTTAAAAAGATCCAGTCATGAGCAGCTAATAGTATCATAGCATGCCTCCCCTGGTGCCAGCACGCCAGGTTTAGAAATAATAGCTGACCTGCAGACCCCAAATATGTAGAAATGGTAATAGCAGAGAGACAAGCATCATCAGGAGTTTTATCAGCTGAGAGAGAAAATAGTAGTGGAAGTAAAGTACAACCTTATTTTGGTTGTAAACTAGGAACAAAGGCTCCTGCTTAGAGAAAGGGAAGTTATTCTGGACAAGTGGTCCCTCCCTTTTCTGTGGTAATGAAAATAATTGTTAGTTTTCAGTGCTCGAACAGCCAAATATTGACTTTAGCCTCAGACACTTTTGCTCCCTTTAGAAAATAAAGGTAGTGGTGCTGGCTAGAAATAGAACAAAAAGCTATCCATGCTGAAAATAACTTGATGGCTATGTTTCATGTTAACCAAAGGCTTTGACTGTAATCTTTCTGAATCACATACAAAGCGACAGAATGGTTCTCCTTGAACTTCAGTTGTCAATCCAGACATTTTTCCAGTAGACAGGAGACCTGCACAGAAGACTGAATTTTGAAAGTAATCAATTTTAGGTACCTGTAAACTGACTTTCTAGAAATAATGCACACCCCATACTGCAGTCCATAAGTATCCAAAATTGGACCCACAACTGAGAGTGTTTTTAAAATTTGCACCTTCATATGTTTTTCTCCCTGTCCTCTAGCTATAGGAATAGCTCATTTTGTAGCCAAGGAAATATCTTCCATTCTGTTAGGAAGGACAGTCACAGAGGAGGAGCTCACTGCTCTCTGTAACACACAATAGAGATTGTAGCCTTTATGCTCCATCAAATATATCTATAGTTAGTGAAGAATAATCTTAAGTACTACAGTTCAGTTAGCACACCCCACAAACTTTAGGTAAGCAAGGACAGTTAGCAAAACTACACTATCCTGGGAAAACCTTCTTGGTTATAACCATCTTGCACTAGATGTAGGAGGGCCATTCATGCGGGTCACTCACTAACATAGGTTGCCCATCACTCCTATAACCTGAAAATTAAAAGGAGGAAAGTCCATTGGACATGGTTCTAATTGGCTTAATGTTTTTAAATTTGTATTGAATTCTGCAATTCTCTCTGGTGTGCCTATGTTTTAGAAATGGACTGGATCATGAGTGGATCTCAGATTACAAAACCATTCCATTTAATTGAAATCTTATGCCCTCTTTCCAAGGAAGATATTTTAATAGAAAGTTGCTGGGAAGATCGCTTCTCAGTTGGCCAAACTAGTTCCAGTTCTCACAGTATGGGGTGTATCCCTAAAGGTCCATTTAGTAAAGTGCAGCACTTAAAAAGAAACACATCACTATCTCCAGAGCAGATTAGATTATTAAAGGCCAGGAGGTTATAAAAGCTTTCTAAGTCTTTGAAAAGTCCTAGACTTCCAGATAGCACTTACTATATTGCCCTGTATAGAATCATCCGTTTCATTTGTGTGTGGCAGAAGGTCTCTGGGGCTCCAATAAAGGTCAGCTAGCCATGTGTCCAAAGTGTAAAACCAGTCTCCATTTCTGTGCGGAATCACACCTAATTTCAACTTCAGAGTACCATTCTTTCATTGTAGTTAGGCTATTATTTTAGAGTCCTGACTCTTTGCCAGTCACGGTTTAACCAGTGTTTGGCCATTACAAGTTCTGACTCAAAGACTTACGCCTCAAAAACTATTAATTTTTCAGGAGTACTAGGGAAGCTCAAGAAGTGGTCAAGTGCACTTTATTGGTTAAAAGGAGATTGAACTCTGAGAATTGGCGAGCCCCTTACAAATGTTGTGATGAAATAATCTGATTCTTTCTGTTCATAGCAAAGGACAAAATTCATTTTTCTGGAGTGGCATAGAAAAACTAACAAGTAAAACAGTAAACTTCAATTTAAAGTTTCTGAAGCCACTTGATTGAAATAGACCACATCAAAAAACGGCACTATTACACAATCAAACCTTCTATATGAATTTATATGCCAAGCAGATTGTGGGGGGAGAATATAAACAAATGAAAACTCTTTGAAATCTTGATATTCGCTGACTTTTGTTCATGGGGGTATGATTAAAGCATTTTCCTGTCTAGAAATGTGCCGGGTTTGCCTCTTCAAAAAGGAGCAGCACTAACAACAATTTAGATGGTGAAAACTCAAAAAGGGTTGTTAGTTTTTGGAATGGAAATAAGTAGATTCTTAAAATGGGTTTTAAGGATGGGGGGGGGGTGAGAAATACCTCTAAAGGAAAGCCTGCTACATAGCGTCTTGCTGAAACTTAAGAATCATAGGAATTAACCTTGTTTTGCACAGGTTTTAGATGAGGCTGATAGGATGTTGGATATGGGATTTGAACCTCAGATAATGAAGATCCTACTAGATGTACGTCCTGACAGACAAACAGTAATGACTAGGTATGTAAATGCTTTCAGAAGCTTAGAATTAAGGCTGGTGTCATTGTAAACTTGTGTAGTTATTCAGTTTTAAAGAATAATGTTAGCATTTTTTACATATAAAGTTTCCTAAAGAATTACTGTGCTCATATTTATGGGATAGTGGATAACTGTATATTATAATCTTGATTTATTCTCTTGATGTCATGTTAGGTTCCTTTTGTTGAATTCCGTTTCATGAGAGTTTTCAGGTATTCTTGAATACTGACTAGTTGGATAAGAATTAATAACTACTTGGGTCTTAGACTTCAGACAAAGACAAATAGACTGAAGAACTCCCATAGTCCTGCCTGTCCAACTTAATTGGTGATAAATCTTGAATGGAAAAATGTGAGGGTATCTAGACAGTGTGCACATTTGGAATTTTTAACTAATTAGTATATACTATTTATCTCAAAGTAGGCTGAAAGAGGCATTCAGCACACTAATAACTTGAGGTTTTAATTTTTTATCTGTTTTTGCAAGCTTGTGATGCACATATCCACTGCACATTGCCAGCTGCTGCTCGGTGTGATATTCGAGCATGCACTCTGCTTATATCAGTCTCTCCTATCCTTTAGTTATCCCAGTGGTCTTCAATGGTAAGTCTCATTCTTCTCCAGTATTTGACTTCAGAAAGAAAAATATTTATCATGTCAGGTGTTGATGCAGAATCCTTTCAACATACAGGACTTCACAGTAACCTAACAAGATTACAAGAGCTGTAATCCTGGGAGGGGTTGCAACTGCTTTGAAATGATGATGATTCTATTATTTCCACATCTGGTCCCCATAAGGGAACAGCCGTCTCCACCCAATTCATCTCAAATTGGATATCAAGCTGCTACAGACTTCGCAATAAGTTCCCACCTTGGAAGGTCACTGGTCATTTCATGTGAATGATGGCCACATTGACTGCCTTTTTACATAATGTGCCCCTTGTTGACATCTTTAGGGTGGCTATCTGGTCCTTCCATCATATCTTCGAGCAACATTATGCATTACAGCAGGGACCAGTACCATCAATCATTGTGGGTGAGGCTGTCCTTGCCACTCTGGGGCGTGACTCCAAAGCTCGCCTCTGCCTAATGCGGGTATTGCTCTTTAGTCACCTGAGTGAGCACCCACAGGGACACCACTTGAAGGAGAAGAGGAAGTTACCGTGTGCAGTAATGATGGTTCTTTAAGATGTGTGTCCCTGTGAGTGCTCCACTATCTTTCCTTCCTCCTCACTAAGGATTCTGGTAGAAAAGGAATGGAGGGGATCTGTGCTACGCATGCAACTAATGGACAGAACAGCGCGAGACAGTGACTGCATGTGCATGGCACGGGAAGGCACTGCTATGCTAAAAATCTCCAATTGCCGGCGCAAGGACACACTGACACCTGAATGGAGCATCCACAGTGACACATCTTAAAGAACCATCATTACTACACAAGGCGAGTAACTTCCTCATCTCAGGCTAAAAATGATCTTGATGAAGAAATCTCTCTATCCTGAAACAAACACGAGGACTGCTTCTCTGCACACTCCTCCCAAAGGAACAGGGAAACAGACCCTTCAAAAGATGAAGAGGGCACACATGTCCTCTCAGAGAGCACTGTCTCCTGCCAGGTTGCTACCCCTCTTGTCAGCACATGCTCAGGTGAGCACTATGCTGCGCCAGGAACCTCTAGTACTGCTAAGCCCCAAGCAAAGGAGATGGAGTAGAGGCACAAAGACATGCCTTGTCCATGTCACCCAGACCTGACTTGGCACCAAGTGTCTCCTCAGGCACAAATGCCTCTGCGCCATGGCACTGTCAACACTGGTAGAGAAAACTAAGTTGGCACTAATTGCACCAACCAAACTGATGGGGCATGTGTTGGCATCAACAAGCAAGGGATCTTTGGCACCAACGATACCAATATCAGAACTGCTAGTCTGTGCTACCCAAAGAGACTTCATTGTATCATTGGCACTACTTTCTCCATTACTTAGTATCACAATTCCACCATGAGTTATAGAGGAGATCCCCATATGTCTTGCAAAGTGGTACTCATCTAGTAAATATGATAAGGGGCAGGAACCATGCATTTTCTCACTACACCATCTCTGAAAAAATGACAACTAGCCTTGGGCCTTACAACCAGATTCCTATATGCAGGAATTTCTGTGTAGGGAGGTGTTTTTTGGAAATGTGGAACACAAGGGTGTGAATGCACCCTCATGGTCCCCTAAGTGGGGAAATCAGCCCTAGCCTTGCCCTGGCCGACCAGAGCATGGAGGAGGGAGACTTGGGCAGCGTGCTGCTCCTGCCTTCCCCATGCCAGCTGGAGCATGTTTACTTGGGAGACCATTGAGGGGTGCTGTTGCACCTCCCCTGCATACAGGCCTGCATATGGTTCAAGTATGGTACAGACCACTGTGGATGAATCCACCAATGGCCTTCCAAATTCATTGGGCACACTGGACAACTTATTGGGGCTCATATTCCAAGTCTCCCACAGTCCATAGAGCTAAATTGTGGTCTCATATCACATCTCTCACCCTACAGAGGCTCAGGGAGACGGAGAGAACACTGAAATGAGCACAAGCCAGGCAGCTACATCTCCATCTTGCAATTTTTCTTCTTCTCCAGACGAGGTGATTATTCTATGACCACCTACTGTAGATTACTTCAAGCAGTTCCAGGAAGCGTTTAATCAGGTCACCCCAAGCCAGGACATCCCTCTGGAGAATGTGCAGATAAACCAGTGCAAGAAGCCCCAGTTTAGATTAACCTCTAAGGAACACAAGAGACTGTTCAGGCACAAAGTTTATTTATCAAGCACATTATAATTCAGAGTCGCAAACTAGACTACCTTATTGGCAAAATGAGATTGGTATCTAAGGGAAATATAGCTCGTTTATAGCAGTGCTCTCAGAGGAGAAACTGTCATAATTCAGGTAATTGTGAATGAGGGGATTTAAACCCCATTTGCAAAGAGAAGAAGGTACAAACCTTATTAGAGAACCAGAGACAGTGACTCCAATTGACAACAACAATGGCCTTATGGTAATGTCAACAATCACAGCACTGGAGAACATCTCAATCCCAGGTGCCAATTTTCCAGTTGGTACCTTGCAAATCACAATTTTGAAGCTCTGATTGAAGGTTTGAAAGGCCTCCTTCACCAACCAATGTTTCAGCCCAATCCATTCCCGTGTTTTTGGCTATTGCCTTCCCGTGTTCTACCACATCTGGACATCAAATAATATCAGACTAGTGGCTTTTAGGGTTAGTACGTTTGGAATATACCCCTTCACCTCCCAACCACTTACCCAAATCCCCACCCTGTGTCTCTTCAAGAATGCTTATCATGAAGGAAGTTAACATGGATTTTTGGTTTTCAGCCCTCTAACAAAAGATGCCTATATCCATTTAAAGACACATCCATTATCAGGAAACACCTACATGTTATAAGCCACGATTGTTTCTGATACGTCTCTTCTTCAGCCTGTCTTTAACCCTCAGGGTCTTCTCAAAGGCCTTTAGGATTGCTTCTTGTTGCAGTTATTCTTCTTCTTTGAGAGATTGTTCATGACCATTCCATGTCGGTTTTTCTCTTAGCAGTACCTGTTGAGTCAGCAAGGGTGCCTTCTGGAGTTGCACCGGTATATTGACCAGTATATGGGCCAGTAAATACCTCTGGTGGCCCTGCACCCCCTCAGTTCCTTTTTACCACTTGTGACAGTTGTTGCAATGTGCCTTTGCTCTTGCTCTGCAAGCGCTTCTTAGCAGTTTTCTCGTTGTTCTAATAGTTAAAATTTTTGCAGTTCATTGTTCTTATCTAGGTTTTTAGTACTTGTAAAGTGTTGTGCTTAGTATTAAGCAACCAAGTGCAGGGCTCACTCTGTGTCCCTGGCACATCTGGCGGGGCATGCCCAGGCCCCAAGGCTTCAAGCCCTGCAAGAAGTGCCAGAAGTTTATGCCCTGTAGAGACCCTCACACAGCCTGCTTTAGGTGCCTTGTGTGATGGACCAGGCCTGGTCTGGGCATCAGCTCAGGGCGAGTTGCTCAGATCCAGGGCTACTTACAGCACTTGACTGAAGACTTTTCCCAAATAGGCCACAAACCAGTTACACAACTCACATCAACTGCCAATCTGGCCAGCAGAAAGCCTCACAAGCAAAACCTCTCAGACACCCTAGCTTTCTCTGTGCCACAATCAGCCCCGGACCTTACACACAGGTGAGAGATGATAAAACCCGATCTCACCAACTCTGAACAAATCCTCCCGGTCCCAAAGAACCAGCCACAGTCCTGGGCCAATTTACACTTTAGATCTTACTCTCAAAAGCATGCTGGACCAATCCTTTAGAATCTAAGGGTATGTCCACCCAGAAAAGTTATTTAGAAATAACAGCCGTTATTTCGAAATAACTTTACCACTGTCTACACAGCCAAACTGCTATTTTGAAATTAAATCGAAATAGCGAAGGGCTTATTTTGAAATTGGTGCTATTCCTTATGGAATGAGGTTTACCAATTTCGAAATTGCTATTTCAAAATAAGCGCCGTATAGACGCTTATTTTGAAATAGGGGGCCTCCAGCCCTTCCCAGGGTGCCCTGCTGGCCTCTCTGGCCCCAACCAGGAAAACTCCAAACCTCGC